AGAGGAGAGAGAGAGGGCGAGCAAGAGAAGAGAGAAGAGAGAGAGGGCGATCAAGAGAAGAGAGAGAGGGCGATCAAGAGGAGAGAGAGAGGGCGATCAAGAGAAGAGAGAGGGCGATCAAGAGAAGAGAGAGAGGGCGAGCAAGAGAAGAGAGAGAGGGCGATCAAGAGAAGAGAGAGAGGGCGATAGAAGATTGAGAGGGTGATCAAGAGAAGAGAGAGAGTAATGTAACCTCCTAATGTAATCTATTACTCCTATGAAAATGTTCAAAAAGTGCTCAAACTTCACATGTGTGCTAACAGTCCAGCCGTGAAGACATCTACGGTACAGTTTTGAGATTTCTTCAAATGCCGTTGCCATGGCAACACAATGCTCACCATGAAACACGGTTTTCTCATAACTTCAGTGAAAATGATCGAAATGGCCCAAAACTTCACAGGTTTGGTAACGATGCAGCCATCAACACATCTAAGCGTATTATGGGGTGTTATCAAATGCCGTTGCCATGGCAACAGATAATTCACCATCAAGTTAGTTCAAAAGTTTGCAGTTCAAATATTCTGCTGCTTTCCCAAGCCTTTTTACTTTATTTTCTCATCTTAATGCAAATTCATTCACTACTACTTACATCTGATATTTAACTCCTTCAGCCTATTTTCAGCTGCAGAAACCATTCAACTATTACATTATTCAGCTATTTCATTACATCAAGTCTATACATGTTTTTTTAAACCTTTTCTTTTAAATATTAAGCTTTTTCTGCATTTTTGTAGCTAAAAGCAGCTACCATTCAGCTAATAACATATTCAGCTTTTTCAGCTAAATTCAGCCACAAATGTTCACAGTTTACAGCATTCGCACGCATTTTCTGCAGGAAATGCATTTTCTAGTATTATTATTATTATTTCAACCATACTTTGGCTCTCCATAACTTCAGCTTACTTTCAGCTACAGAAACCATTCAAATATCAAACTATTCAGCCTGTTCAGGAATCGATGGGAAACCTTCAACTTTTTAAAAATATTTTATACTTTTTGAAATATTCAGCTTTTTAAACTCTTTTTTTTAACATTGAAGTCAATGGGAGATGTCTTCAAATCCTCTTTTCCTACACTTTGCGCCAAATGCTTCTCCTTCCACATAATTTCAGCTAGACACTTCATTCCAACTTTCAAATGATCACAACACCTTCAGCTATAAAACTTGTTATTCAAATTCTTCATATCTTTTACACTTCTTGAGATAATTAACTTTGTTTGGAGCTTGGTAAAGAGGCTTTCTTCAGATTTTAACATTAGTGTGGATGGAGCAGCTCGTTAAGTCTAGAGTGCTTTGATCTCAAAACAGAGTGGAAGAGTGCTTGAAATTCTCCTAAAAAAAATGTTTTAAACTTGCCATAATTCCCAAACCCTACACTCCTCAGACATAATGTTTCATGAGAAACGTAGGAAAACATCTCGTAGCTTGAAAAATGACAAATAATTAAGCAAAATAATTAAACAAAATGCCTCTTGAGGGCATGAAGTGACAAAAACGTTCAACATGTCTCCATTAAAGCCCATTGTAATTTCAGGCAGATATTTCCTCACAGCAGCAGCCGCACACCTTTCTTAAACTGCCAAAAAAGCCACATTATTAACCCGAAAGTAAACAAAAATTACACTTCAGATACTCAACTTCCTTGACATGCTTCACGTTTTGAAATTTCACAGATATCTGTTATCGTTCTTCCACAAAACGTTCACATGTAAGAGGTTCATCTCTCATTCAAAACAATGAAGCCTTTGATCTATACATAGCTCGTTAGCGCAACTATCAACACCTGTGTTTGAACACGATGATGTCATCACTCCAACTGTCAGTTTCTCTCTCTCTCTCTCTCTCTCACTCACTCACTCACTCACTCACTCACACTCACACACTCACTCACTCACTCACTCACTCACACACTCACACTCACACACTCACACTCACAGACAGACACACTCTGGGTGTTTCTCAATCGCGAGTAAAGCTGCTTCAGAGCCACTATTTCAAGCATACATCGAGTGCAGCCGAAGTACTGTTCCAATCTCCAGTATACTTGGAAATCTACCGAGCCCGGCGTACTCCGTTTGGAGAAATATCGAGTGTGCACATGAGTAGACTTCGCGGTCTTAAAATCCCCACAATGCTTTGCGGACGGACCAATTTCCCCAAATCTGTGGCGGAAGATGTAAGAGGCGGGGCCTCTCATATGACGCACACCTGCACACTTGCTAGCCTGTTCCACTCTTTGTTTTCCGAATGTCAGGAAGTATTCTTGACTCGCTTCTGAAGCAAGATGCTCGGCAGACATGTGCTACCAAGCAAGCGTACTCGCGATTGAGAAACACCCCGTCTCTCTCTCTCACACACACACAAACACACTCTCCCTCTCTCTCACAGACACATCAAGAGAAGAGAGGGCGATCAAGAGAAGTGAGAGGGTGATAGAAGAGTGATAGGGTGATCAAGAGAAGAGAGAGGGCGATCAAGAGGAGAGAGAGAGGGCGATCAAGAGAGAGAGAGGGCGATCAAGAGAAGAGAGAGGGCGATCAAGAGGAGAGAGAGGGCGATCAAGAGGAGAGAGAGAGGGCGATCAAGAGGAGAGAGAGTGGGCGATCAAGAGGAGAGAGAGAGGGGCGATCAAGAGGAGAGAGAGAGGGCGATCAAGAGAAGAGAGAGGGCGATCAAGAGGAGAGAGAGAGGGCGATCAAGAGGAGAGAGAGAGGGGCGATCAAGAGGAGAGAGAGTGGGCGATCAAGAGGAGAGGGGCGATCAAGAGGAGAGAGAGAGGGCGATCAAGAGGAGAGAGAGAGAGGGCGATCAAGAGGAGAGGGCGATCAAGAGGAGAGAGAGGGCGATCAAGAGGAGAGAGAGAGGGCGATCAAGAGGAGAGAGAGAGGGCGATCAAGAGAAGAGAGAGAGAGAGGGCGATCAAGAGGAGAGAGAGAGGGCGATCAAGAGAAGAGAGAGAGAGGGCGATCAAGAGGAGAGAGAGAGGGCGATCAAGAGGAGAGAGAGAGGGCGATCAAGAGAAGAGAGAGGGCGATCAAGAGAAGAGAGAGAGGGCGAGCAAGAGAAGAGAGAGAGAGGGCGATCAAGAGAAGAGAGAGAGGGCGATAGAAGATTGAGAGGGTGATCAAGAGAAGAGAGAGAGGGCGATCAAGAGAAGAGAGAGGGCGATCAAGAGAAGAGAGAGAGGGCGATCAAGAGAAGAGAGAGTAATGTAACCTCCTAATGTAATGTATTACTCCTATGAAAATGTTCAAAAAGTGCTCAAACTTCACATGTGTGCTAACAGTCCAGCCGTGAAGACATCTACGGGACAGTTTTGAGATTTCTTCAAATGTCGTTGCCATGGCAACACAATGCTCACCATGAAACACGGTTTTCTCATAACTTCAGTGAAAATGATCGAAATGGCCCAAAACTTCACAGGTTTGGTAACGATGCAGCCATCAACACATCTAAGCGTATTATGGGGTGTCATCAAATGCCGTTACCATGGCGACAGATAATTCACCAAAGTTAGTTCAAAAGTTTGCAGTTCAAATATTCTGCTGCTTTCCCAAGCCTTTTTACTTTCTTTTCTCATCTTAATACAAATTCATTCACTACTACTTACATCTGATATTTAACTCCTTCAGCCTATTTTCAGCTGCAGAAACCATTCAACTATTACATTATTCAGCTATTTCATTACATCAAGGCTATACATGTTTTTTTAAACCTTTTCTTTTAAATATTAAGCTTTTTCTGCATTTTTGTAGCTAAAAGCAGCTACCATTCAGCTAATAACATATTCAGCTTTTTCAGCTAAATTCAGCCACAAATGTTCACAGTTTACAGCATTCGCACGCATTTTCTGCAGGAAATGCATTTTCTAGTTCCCATCACTAGTCCTATCTAGTTATGTGCACGTTCACATAAAAGGGGCGGGGTTAGCAACATTTGACCAATCACAAACATGGAGAAGCGCAATGACAGCGCAGCGTCATACTTCCTGAATGAAAAGTGAACTATAATTAGACAAATATGAAGAAGTTAAACTTTAAACATCCATGACTTAAACACTTTATCCAGGATAAAAGCCACATAGCTGCACCTGCGAGGTGCATGCAGCTGGTAACAGAAAAAGTGTTTGAATGCGTACATTAACAGGTTTATGATATCACTGCCCCGTCTAAGACACGAGTGGATCTGACTTTAATTACATTTGACTCGAGTGTTTCGTCAACTTAATGTGTTGCTTAAAATAATACTTCTGCATACAGTATGTGACACTGAGTGTTGCACGGCCAGATACGGCTCAAGAAGCTGACTCAGATAAGGAAATATATGATACATTATGATGTGATATATGAATGATAATGGGACACATCGACGTCTGCACTCACAGTGCCGCGGACTGTAAGCTACGTAATGTTACTTTGATCCGGTTACTTGTGTTGTGGCAGATATTTAAGTAAGCTTTCTTAACGCTAATGTTATAATAGTCAGATTGCTCTGAAGATGGGAGGTGATATTCTATTCATTTTCACGTTCACAGTCGGTGATTTTTGCCGGCCGTCTTTCCTGCAACGGCAGTTTAAACTGTATTTCCTTTCTCCTGTCGTATGAATTGATCGCTTTAAACTCCGCACACTGAGCTCTGATTGGTCAGCAGGCAGTGCTTTTATCCTGGAACCTATCCTTCTCCGGAGGCTAGCCGTTCAGGATAAGTTATCTTGCCCGCTAAGAAGTGAACCAGCGTCGTAGGACCGGAAACCCAGAGTTTTCCCTGAAGTCAGCCCGCTAAGCGAAAATCCGGCTTCGTAGTATAGGCCTCTGGTCTATAAGTTTATAAAATATGTTTATCTACAATTATTAGTGTGTGTGCTCCCTGTAGTCTTAAAATATCTACAGGATATGACTATAGCTGTGGTTATGTGTTCCAAAGGGGGCTTTTCACCATTAAATACACAAAAGAAGCTTCTTCTTTTTAATTGTTTATTAAAAATCTGAAAAACAACAAAGGCAAGACAAATTATGAAAGGGGACGAGACAAGCGACAACTTTGCTGTCAACTATAACAACATACGAAATCAAATATGACAAAAACTTCCAGAGAAGTGACAACTCAATTCCTTCTTTCCTCAAGTACTGTCCCACAAAAGATGAAATACAAATGATTAGAACAAGCTCTCAGCACAGTGTGCGCTCCTCACAGAGTGGAGGGGGGGGCTGCGTCTCAGTCCGTGGTGGTGCGGCGGTACCAAAAGCGGGCCCTGAAGTCGTCGCTGCAGGTCATGAAGCCAGGGTTGGTGGGCGAGTGCACGATGCAGCGCACGATGTTGTTGTGTCCCAGAGACAGCAGGTTCTTCCTCTCGGCTGTGCGCGAGTCCCAGCAGCACAGGCTGATGGTGCGCTCGTCTGGCAGCAGCACGTAGTCCTCCGTGTGGTTGAACACGCCCTGCGTCCGGTGCATCTGCCTCCCGCTCAGCCCCGCGCCTGCAACACACAGTGCATATCAAATCAGAGCTCCATCAGCTGATTTGTTCATAGCTTAACTCATTTTAATATCAACCCTGCAAAGACGTGTTAATATTGGTATATTTTCATACCCACCATACTGAGCAAAGCATATTACTGCAGTTGCTTTCCCCGAGTGACCACTCGAGGCTCCCAGTGAGTGTCAACCCCTGTTCATCTGTCCCACTTTACAGCAGAAATACACCGTTTACAGCCTGCTGCAAAAACTATTTGGGTCTGTAGCTAATTTCTCTGTTAATGCACGGGGGGATTTTTAACCTTAAAAACTGTAAAATGATGTTAATGCCTAAAGTTTTGTGTAATTAAGTGTGCAGCCTTTGAGTGACAGGTTGTTGCCGTCTAACGCGAGCTGTCAGCGTGGCGTCACTTAGGTCCTCCCCTGGTCCTACACTTTACCCCTTGTGAAATGCGAGTGGAGGAGGCGAGGGAGAGGTTTGAGGAAAGGGGGCTTGGGGAAACAAGCATTTATTGAAATGAGAAATCCTTTCCTTGGAGAAGTCATTTCAATGTGACGTAAATTAATTAGAATGCAAGTCGCAGCTGCATCAGCTGTCCATTGTCTTGTTAAACTGTGTATTTGATCATCTCTGTCAAACAGGTAACAGTGTTTTTGACAACTTAGGGTTATACAACCAAAACATACCTTATCTGTAAATAGCTGCTAAAAACCCTGCTAAATCCATATATGTTATGTTAATGAAAAATGATCTCATGGTGAACGTAGTGTGGGACATTTCAAAACTGTAAATATTTTTGTTCTGATGAAAGTTGTTGCATTTAATGAAAATTAAGCATGCTAATGTTTTTCTCTTATGAATCGGTATAAAATGAATTAGAGAAAGCTCTACCTCTAGATGTAGGGATGTAATTCTAGGGGAAGTACAATGGCATTGTGCTGTGTCTATTGAAGGGCGTATGACTTTAAATATGTTGCTCTTCCTTCTCCTCCTCCTTCTTCTTTGCTACCTGAACATAGCTAGAGCTGGACTCAAATCTGAGCAGCAGCTATCATTTGTGATTGTTCTCGACTCAACACACTTTGTAGTAGCACTAAACATATGAAACCTCTTTGTTACAAGAGCAAGAGTGTTGAAAACACCATATTTAGATGGCTGGCACAAGTTAAAAATGATGCAGATTGAATGCAAGTGATCAAGTGACTGTAAAAAGAATCCTTGCATCTGCTTGTTGTAGGGCGTTTGATACTTAGCATTTTTAACCGAATGTTAGGGAGTTACAGAGTACAGAAACAAATGCTATATAGACTGCACTATAGAGCCATTAGCACCAAACTAGAACGGAACAGATTCGGTGGAAAAGGGGTATGCGAGTCCATCTCCTCGCCGCAAGGAGGACGTTATGGAGGTGCAAGTGGTTTTCTAATTTCTGTCATTTTCGATTTAGTCTAATAAACAATCTATTAAAAGTGTACATGGAGCGTACAGCCCGTAGGCAGTGACACAAACTCACAGATTAAGTTAACTATAGGCGGAATGGACAGTAAATATGTCCAACAATATTTTTGTTTCTACTAATAAAGTGTCTAAACTCTTCATTTAAAATGTGCAAACGATTGAAGGTAAATGGAATATGAGCAAAGACAAGGCAGACTGTTGAGAGTATATCTGAGCCATACCTGTGTATTTGACCAGCGTCCGGCCTGTGGAGATCTCCCACAGTTTCACCACGGAGTCTTTGCCACTGGACATGATGTACTTGGAGTTCTTGGAGAAGATGGCGGAGCAGACCTCGGCTCCATCGTGGGCCTTCTCGAAAGTGGTGACGCAGCGGTTGGAGACGCCATCCCAAAGCTTGATGCTGCCGTCCTTGCTGCAGGAGACGTAGGTGTTGGCGCTGGGGTTGTAGCTGACGCCACTGATGGTGTCTGTGTGCTGGTCCAGCGGGTTGCAGGAGACAAAGCACTGGAAGGTGTTGACGTCGTAAAGGCGGAGTGTGGGGTGCTGCGTTCCAACCAGCAGGAAGTCACCTGATGGATGGAAGGAGATTGAACGCAGCATTTCTGCTTCCTGTTGCGAAAAAGATGGAGAGATGATCGGATTAAAACTGATTTATAGCAGTCAGCTAAATTGAACTGTTGCAAAGTCCTAGCCTTGTTGACATCAGCTTCGTCATTACTATACAACTTTGCATCTCCACTTTCATTTCAGAATCAGGTTTATCACCAGGTAGGTTTACACGTGCGAGGAATTTGACTTGGTGTCATGGTGCATACATAAAAGTAAAACAAGAATTAAAAACACAGCTAGAGAACTAGAAATATATAAAAAAATAATACAAAAATATAGTAAAATATAACAGTATTTACATGGCAATGGAATTAAATCAGAAGGAATAAAATATAGAACAAAAATCGGCAGTAATAAAAAAAGAAGAAAAAGAAAAACAGATATTGTTGCACACAAAGTCTGCGTTGTGGCTGAGGTAAAGTGCCAGTGGGGGGGGCGGGCCTTGTTTATGAGGCTGGTAGCGGAGGGGAAGAAACTGTTCAGGTGGCGAGAGGGCTTGGCCCTGATTTACCAAAACAAAGACAAATGGTTCATTACATTTGAAACCCAAATAGTTGGAACTAACAAAATCTGACCTGTATGTATTTAAATGCTCTTTTTGCAGAGGGCTTGGAGTAGTCAAACAGTTTGAGGGTGTAATCTCTTGATCCAGAAGCCAAAATCTGTTCAGTCGGATGGAAGGCGAGGCAGGTTACTTCATCCACGTGGTCATACAGTGTTCGTATCACAGGGTGATTCTCCATATTTTGCTGCGCCGTCTCATTCATCATCACCTGACACACAGACATTAAGACACACAGAAACAGTTAACATAAGCAGCTGGATGAAAACCCTGCAGTGTACTCTTATGTCAGGTCTGCCTCACCTCAATAGGCATAGCGCTCTTGGCCAGCATGCGTTCAGTATCCAGGATCTTGATGGAAGCATCAGCAGAGCCAGTGGCAATCAGCTGGCCATCGCGGCTGTATGAAGCCACGCGACAGGGACCTTTATGGGATGTTACGTAGCAGGTCTCATACTCTGATGCCTCTGGAGACATGGTCTGGACATCAGCATCAAATTCCAGATCAATCCCCACACCAGGCGCCACTGTATCTGAGCGCCCAATAGCATACTGGACTGCACTGTCATCATTCTCCATCCCTGAAAAAGGTTGGATAATGAACAATCAGGGGCTCTTGATGTTGACCATTACACCAGTCAGACACGAAGGAGACAATGTTACCTGTTTTAGCCAGCTGCATCAGCTGCTCAGAGGGCGACACCACGTTCTGAGGCTTCACCTCATTGATCAGATTGTTGGCGATACTCGTGTATCCGTCATAGAGCAGCTGGCTGATGATCAGCTTGTACAAGTGCTGTCGGTCCTTCAGAGTGGGTTTGGGACGGAACATGGTGGGTCAGGTTGAGCAGAGGGGGCTGAAACAAAAGAAGCAGAGTGAGCACTAATCACGTGAGAATGCGAGCCGCTGCTATGCTGCACACTGGTGCCCAAGGCAGTCCTGTATCTGCCTTAAGTTTCAACACAGCGTTAGCTGGGACAATAACGCTGTAGCTAGCTACCGCCAATGAATGGAACGTAAGTAGTGCTGCTAACACCGTTAGCTTGTTGCTACAGTGACGGCTAAACAGAGCATTACAACAGCAGTAACGCTATATGTATGAGCGCGAGTTAAACAACGGAACTGGCCGGAAGTGTGCAGCATGTGCAGTCTGAAGACATGAACTTAATATCACATATAAAACATAAACATATCCAACCCTTTGAAAACTTTCAATGGCGCTCCTGGACCCAAACGTGTTACGTATTTGCGTCATACGTCAAGTCCTACGTCACAAGCCTACAGATTGAGGTTGCCTTCACGGTAAACAGAATTTGCGGGTAATGTAAAACTTCCACATAGAATAGAACAAGAACAGCGGTATCAGGTGCAAATGAGACGTTCACGAGCCCAAAAGAGTGGCTGGGGAATGAAGAAAAACACCGACAACAGATCTGTCCTCTCATATCCAGCACAAAGTATCTGTTTCTGAAACAAAATAGAAGCAAATGTAAAACTCCAAACTCTTTCTTTCTGTCTTTCTTTCATTCTTTCTTTCTTCCTGTCCATTCCGCCTAACTTTAAGGTGTTCATATGCTTTTTTGACTGTGCTCCATAAAAAACGAAAGAAATAATGGAAAGCTACGTGCCTCTGCCAAGGATTGAGCACATCTTTGTTGCTTTAAATGCACTCTAAAAATAATTCCAGGGCGAACAGGGACAGTTCATCACTGAAAGTAGCGGTGGGGCATGATGAGTCTGCTGCAGTGTTGTGTATCCAGTGAAAAGGCATTATTGAACATGTAAGTGCATTTAGGCCTCCAGCAATCCAGCAGCCACCCACACATTCTCTGAGTGGTCACGTCCTACAATGTGGCTCATCACTTCAATTGCTATGGGCATAGATTTGTCTCATAATTATTTGTTTGAACATAAAAATAATTTGTGTGTAAATATGTGATTTGTAAATGTAAAACACCATCCACAAATGCATTTAAAAGATTTGCAAACTCACAAATAAATTTGCAAATGTAAAACGGATCTGCAAATACGCTAAATATTTTCACAAATAAAAAAAAGATCTGTGAATATCTCTTTACTTTCGATCAGGCATTTGTACATCCATTTTGTATTTGTCAACCAAAAATGCGCTTGTGGATCTCAAATCTCTGCCTCTGGATCTCAAATCTCTGCTTGTGGATCGTCTTGCACACACGGAGTTTTGAGACAAACTTTCCGCCGGTCTCGGCTCAAATCTGCTCGTGTCACTCACTCGGTTATTTTCGGAAACCACTTGATGGCCTGCTGATGACGACATTTCCGCATGATTTCAAAGTAAGAGCATGATGGTTTGTTTAATGCGCTGTTTTTGTATTGAACAGCGGAACGTTAGATGCATTCTTTATCACCATCATCATCATCATCATCATCATCATCATCATCATCATCATCATCATCATCATGTTATAGTGATTATTAATTCCGCCGTTATAAATAACTGCTGATAACTGATATATTGTTAAAAAGAGGGGCCTATCAATTTCTGGTGCCATGACTTGAAAGACCTGATGTATCGCAGCGAGAGGCAGACGGCTTCGTAAAAATACGTTACGTTTAATTTTTATAAAAAGCCCCTAACAATAAGTGCAATAAACCATGAAGGTACATCTCAAAACTGTAAGAAAAATGCAGTAGCCTACAGTATATCGTCTTAAACTAAGTCCAAACTATTTTTTTTGTGTAAAAAAGTATAATTTGAGAGTGAAATATCAACAAGTGATAAAGAGGCTACTTTAGATGTAATTTTTGAACGATGACATGAGATTTTTGAACATTTTATTAGGTGTGTGAGTGTGACTACTGGGATCATGTCAACATCAGTGGTAACATAACTCAACATGTCTGACAGTTTCACTCCGTGGCAAACAATAGAATCTATCAAAAACATTACACATTGTCTGGGGAAAGACATGTTTATACACTTTACTGTGATTGGAAAGGATTTCATTTGTCTGTAAAACATGCAAACATGCCTGAAACTAGGACTGAGCTGTGTACGGGGGTAGAAAACATGCACGGTAAGAGAGGTGTCTTGTTACCATGTCAACACAAAGCATGCTCTCATGGGATCAGCCTGCAGTTGCCGTGGAGACCAGCTAGAGTCTGTAGCAGTGAAATTATGTAAAAAGTATGTGTTTTCTGATAATTGCAATTTATCCCAGGTGAATGACATACTGATGCAAAATCCTGATATTTGAAAAAATCCATTACATCAGAGCTATTGAGAGTATAAATATTTTGAAATGCTTTTCATATATTCACATTTAAAAGTCAATATATCAACTTACACATACAACATTTATACATAGTAAACACTTTGTATTAAGAATGAATCAGTTTACTACTGTTAGTGAAATACGAATATGGTTGTACGTGACTCTCCCATGTAGTATGAGTATTATACATAATATAATAATATACTGTATATAATATGTTAGTGTATAAAAATACTAAATATCTATTTATTTAGGTTAAATATTATAGTTTTTGTATTAATGATCTTGTAACGGACTATAGTCTGTTATATAAGAGCACTTGCAACATGTGATGTAGCTCATACTCAGACTGACTGTCTTTCTTCATGCTGTCCACAACTGGGCCTCGACACTGACATTTAACACTAGGTGACCATGGACAAGAAGTGGATGTGTATGTGTAGAAGTATGTTTTGCATTTGTCTTTTTATGCTGCCATGAACTGTTAACATCACTATTATCTGTTCGATGACATTAGACTAAACAAAAGATTGAACCCGATGACACATAATTCCTCAGGCTTTGTAAGAATTCTGAGTTAAAAAGAGAGCAAGTCCATCTGTATTGTGTTTCTAAAGTGCAGAAAATAAATTTGACTCATAATAGACACATGTATAAGCATGTGCTGTATGACCTGGTGTACTACATGGTGTAATGGGGCTTGAGGTATGAGTTTTACTCAAGCAACTCACAAGTCATCCATCTGTTCTCTGCCTGAGAGAATGAGAGCAGTGCACATAAGGAAAAGCAGCCACATCAACATTAGCTTTGCTGCACCCTTGTCTTTGTGGGTGTATCAACTAGTGTGTGGGAGGAAGTAGGTAGGTGGGGGAGCAAGCATATAACTGTTAGCGGTAAAGTCAGTCAGTCAGCCCACGTGACTGTTGAAGGTAAGCTCGCCACTGTCACTGCACTTCCTTTGCCAAGCAGTCGCTTTCACTTCTGCACAACCTGATCATCATCCAACTCTTCAGGCTCTCCTGCTGATCACACTGTGTAATCTATTTTCTCAACTTGTCCTCTAGAAGCCTTTGCTTGACAGCCAAACACTCAGCCAGCCCTTCTCCTTCACTCACTCTCCTCCTCTCTGCCTCACCACTTTCATAGTGCATCTTCTCTCTCATTTGCATTTGTTCCGCTTCCTCAACAAGAAGCAGTTGACATGAAAGAGCTGTGAGAGAGGAACAGATTGCCTGAGCAGGTACACTGAGGATGGGGCTGTTCAGTGTTCAGCACTCTCTAAGTCAGACGTCTGTTGCTGATTGAAGAGTATTAAGGTAAGTGACTTCTCACTGATTGATTTCACAGTTTTCAGTTGTGTTCTGGTATCTTGGTTTATTCTTGCCTACACACCATCAGGTATTTTCTATTTCATTCCCTCATAAGATGAATAATTATAAATCAAATTAATAGAGACAGAATGAAACAAGAAATGAGTCCAGAGATGTTTGCTTTTTGGTTACAGCTTTGTTAAAGTGTGTTCTTGCTATAGCAGAGGCTGGTTTTCAGAACAAGTTTTGCCTCTTTTTAAACCCTAACCAAAGGCTTTTGTCGGCTGACACTTTATTTGGGAGATGAAAGCTTCTTATGTACGAATGTCAGATCTCAGTCCCTCGCCCCTCTCCTACGTCCCTCCCTCTCTCTTTGTACTGCATATATACATTTCTATGCCTGCATACAAAACACATCTTAAGAGTTGTATTCCTGCACAGCCTGCTCTTAAAATTACTTAGCACGGATTTGAATGCCTCAATTGTTCTCCGCGCTCTGTAACATGAATATTATTGCTAACATTTAAATGTTTCTTTTGGTGCTGTAGAAATGTCTTTCTGGTTGTTATACACATGAACAATTCCAATTGTTTTGATTGCCATATCAGCCATCTATCCTAACAATATTGCATATATGTTATCATTAGTTGCTTTTGTATATGTATATGGTGCTTTGCTCCTGTCTTCTTTTCTGATGATGCTATATGCAAATACTCTCCAAAACACAACACTAATATCCTCCTTATGAGCAACTAGCATCTTGGCTAAAATCGATTGCAATGTTTGATCTGAGGCACAGCAGAGGTCTAATGCAAACTGTTCTTATCTTACAGGTAATTGCAGACCTCGATCTGGTACATCACGACAGCAGCAGGGTTACCATGGAGACTGGCAAGCCAGGATTGCAGAGTGCTTCAGTGCACATCAGCACAGTCGCAGAGCAGAGAGAGGGAAGGATGGACCTCCGGGCTCCACTGACGGCGGTTTACATCCAAGCAGTGCCTCCTGCAGCTCCCCGAGAGCCAGCCACACTGCATGTGGCCATGCCGCCGCTTTACTCCAAGGAGACACTTCCCTTTCTCACACTCCATATTACTGGAGGACTGCAGTGTCAGTCATTGAGTCTGCCCGCGGCTGCTCCTGCAGCCAGACCCAAGTCTACAGGAAAACATGTATGTTCTCACTGTGGGCGGGACTGTATGAAGCCCAGTGTGCTGGAGAAGCATCTCCGCTGCCACACCGGGGAGCGGCCGTATCCCTGCACCACCTGCGGAGTCTCTTTCAAAACTCAGAGCAACCTCTACAAACATAAGCGTACTCAGGCTCATGCTCGCCTCTGGTCTGAGTCAGAGCAGAGCAGCATGAGCAGTCTGGACAGCATGTCCGGCTCCAGAGAGACCTGTACCTCCAGCCCGTCTCTGGACGAGCGGAGCGGGGAGTCCAGCAGCATGGAACAGGATGCCACACCTGCTGACACCAACAGCCCGGCCAGTACTGCAAAGGTCTTCTCTGTACAGACGCAGGGTTCTGTCGGTATACAGAATGCCATGACCCATGCAGGTCAGAAGTCAGAAGAAAATGAATGTGCAAAGGTAACAATAAAAAAACAGAGGACGGAAAATGAGAAACCTCCACTGACTGCCAGTCGACATCTTCCCCTTCAGAGACAAGAAGCCACTCTGTTCTCCAAGCAGTGGGAGAGCTCTGTATCCAGAGGG